CAAGTCATAGTGGTCTACGTGACAACGAAATTGTCGATTCCTTAGCAAAGCAAGCATCTACTTCTGGTACCCTCATGCATCATATAACATATACTCATGACCTTATTTCTCTTTCGAAAATCCATCAGATGTCAGATTGGAACTCTCTTTGGAAAAAAAACTCAGAAGTCTATCGGTATATATTATGCAGAACTCCCACCTGACGTCCCCTCCAAACCATGGTTTTTTAAATTTAGAAATGGCTGCAAACATAGCACATCTGTCATATGTAGAATTAGATTGGGACACACTTGTACACCTGTATTTTTGGCAAAACTTAAGATTAAAGATAGCTCAATTTGTGAGTGTGGATTAGACGAAGGTACGATCGATCATAAATTTTTTAACTGCCCTAACCTCTCCGTTTCATTATACGATTTTCTTCCTAATAACATCCCTCGTCCTGTGAATCTTAAGTCTTTGTTAAATTTAGTTTACACTCCTTTTGTACAAACTTTATTAGACTTCATATCCATTAATAACATTAAACTATAGTACCTTTGCCACTTACCTATATCCATATTATTATATTAGCAATAATTTTGTAAAAATATTATAATGTTAATTCATTCGAAAATAACTACATAAGTAAGTTCGTAACAAAAAGCTAAGTAAACGCATCTACGCTACGGAAACGGAAACTAGTTAATACTCTGTGTGACTCTCATGAAATACTTGACGCTGCGCTGGCAGAATCCATTGGAAGTTGCCAAACTTGAAAAAAAATCATTAAAACAAGAGTTTCTTGGCGGTCCTTCCTTGAGAAAGTCTTGTTTTTGTATACTTACAAACCGGTGTATACTTTGACGTTCATAACAGCTTTATAAGAATAAATTGAATAAACATAAATTGTGCCTGTATTTTTACCCTTTGTACGTGTGCACGTACAAAGTAAAACTTCCTTACGGCGTACCGTTCTCCTTTTATTTCATATTTTATATAAGTAGGTCAAATAATAGTATTCTCATGATATAAGTAGGTCAAATAATAGTATACTCATGCAGCCCCGGCGGTAAAATGTTACAAGAGAAAGACGGTTTTTTTTAATACCGCACTACGTCGGTGAAGAAGTTTCACTTCAAGAAATACTTTGATTGACTTCCCGTGAAGATAATTTTATACTTTAAAAACTATATAAAATATTTAATAAAAATTAGTATATCCAATTGGGCATGCCTTAAGCGCATTAAAAAATGATTTCTTATATTTACGCGAACACTACACATTGAATAAAACTATTTTTACGGATTTTATCGCGTTTAATTAACTTATTTTATATTCCCGACGTTTCGGTTGCTTTCCAGCAACCGTGGTCACGGGGAACTGAGGTGATTGACGTCCCGATGTCAAAGTTAACCCGGAGTACCCGGAGTATAATTAAAAAGCTGAAGGTACTCCGGGTTAACTTTGACATCGGGACGTCAATCACCTCAGTTCCCCGTGACCACGGTTGCTGGAAAGCAACCGAAACGTCGGGAATATAAAATAAGTTAATTAAACGCGATAAAATCCGTAAAAATAGTTTTATTCAACGCATTAAAAAAATTACGTATAACATAATTTTAAAGTAGTTTAAATACATTTCGACAGCACTATCGGCTTCAAAACCCTCGAAAACCATGAAAATGACACCCATGATGAAAAAATTGGTACATACTTCAGCCGTCATCTTGGATTTACATTTCGACAGCACTATCGGCTTCAACACCCTCGAAAACCATGAAAATGACACCCATAATGAAAAAATTGATACCTATTGCAGCCGCTATCTTGGATTTACATTTCGACAGCACTATCGGCTTCAACACCCTCGAAAGCCATGAAAATGACACCCAAGATGAAAAAATTGATATCTATTGCAGCCGCCATCTTGGATTTACATTTCGACAACACTATCGGCTTCAACACCCTCGAAAACCATGAAAATGACACCCATGATGAGAAAATGTATACCTCTTGCAGCCGCCACCTTGGATTTACATTTTGACAGCTCTATCGGCTTCAGCATCCTCGAAAACAATGAAAATGACACCCACGATGAAAATATTGATACCTATTGCAGCCGCCATCCTGGATTTCCATTTCAACAACCCTATCGGCTTCAACTCTCTCGAAAACCATGAAAATGACACCCATGATGAAAAAATTGATACCTATTGCAGCCGCCATCTTGGATTTACATTTCGACAGCACTATTGGATTCAACATCCTCGAAAACCATGAAAATGACACCCATGATGAAAACTTTGATATCTATTGCAGCCGCCATCTTGGAATTACATTTCGACAGCACTATCAGCTTGAACACCTTCGAAACCCATGAAAATGACACCCATAATGAAAAAATTTATACCTATTGCAGCCGCCACCTTGGATTTACATTTCGGCAGCACTATCGACTTCAGCACCCTCGAAACCCATGAAAATGACACCCATGATGAAAAAGTTGATACCTATTGCGGCCGCCATCTTAGATTTATATTTCGACAACCATATCGGTTTCAACACCCTCGAAAACCATGAAAATGTCACCCATGACAAAAAAATTGATACTACTTACTTTTTACGTACTACTATTATTTATTCTGTATTTTTAAAATATTAAGTATTTAAGAAATTTGGTTATTCGAATATTGTGTATTTATACAGCGATTTTTTGAGCCGTTGCAAACCACCGAAACAATGTCCACTCACGGCGGCGATTGACGCCGAACTGAGTGTGAGTAAACTATTCTGTGGCTGTAGCTCCCCACTTACAGAAATAATTTACATACAAGGCTACCAAATCAACGAAAATTTCGCCATTTTGGAGCCGAAAAAAATTAATTATAGCTAAACAAAACAAAATTACACTGCCATTTACATTCAGTGGCTTCCCACATGATAGATGAAGAGACTAAAATATAGATTGAGTTAAACAATTGATATTTTCAAAAGTTATCGTGTCAGCCTTGGGGATATGATAAATCCACACCATAAGGCACTAAAACCCCTTTTTATATAAAAATAGCTATTAATCGATTTAAAAAAATATTAGTAAGTTCAACAATCATTTATCTTTCTAACAATGTGCTTTTTATAGCATTTATATGTATAATATGATTGCTAGATACGATTTTATTCGATAAAACGTTGGAATCTTAATTTTAAGGCGATAGTAGAACATACCTTGCGCTTTCGCTTAAGCTTAATATTTAATAAAAATTATATATTACAATATGATGTTTTAAAAAAATATTTTAAACAATAAGTATATCATGCATGAGCATGATAATTATTACGTCTAAAAACCTTATGCGACAGGACCGAATGTAAGACTCGGAATTTTGTGTAAGAGACACGGAAACAACCACAACACTACCAGGTCTAAAAACTTAGCTCATCAGCTTGCATTTGATCCTAGGACTCACAATTTCACGACGTAGTAGCCAGGTACGCCACTGAGCCGCCGCGGCCACTACGCGACATGATGTATTAATAAATTACTTGCGTAGAAACATTATTAAGTAAAATCCCTTATTTTCAATAATGGTTTTAGGTGTGCCAATGCCAAGTAAATTTGTGTCAGAGTTAATTATAAGGTTACGTCAACTGAGGTGCGAGCGTTCATCAATTAGTGGATAAACATAACGTTTACCAGAGTGACAGTTTACAGACGTTTTGAGTGATACAAATTTTACGCTAATCTATAAACTGACGAGTGAGCTGACTTGGAGAGCTCTTCATGCACTGACATTATTTTAATTTTTAGAATAGCGCCAACTACCGTAACAATGGAATTTCATATTTGTGTCAGTTTTGTAATTTTTATACGCTAATTATTATAAATAACATGAATGGTAGTTGTTTTTTGCATATAAAATGAAAGTAGAATATCCTCAATCACGTTTCAACTCAATACATTACTGCTTTATCCTTTATAACGTGGACAAAATCCCAAACGGTAACCTCTACAACAATAATATTAGCCCATAAATAAAAAAGACGGTTGTCTAAGAGTTATTACTAAGCCGCCGTGCCGCGCCGCGCCGGTTAACCGAAATACATAAATAACAATGCATCGAAAATCGTCATTAAAATCTGAGAAAATGCGTTATCGACAAAGGTAGGAATAACATCTTAATTACTTATCAATTTGCACGTTAATTGTAACTCAGAATAATAACTTCATTATGGAGGTAAGGTTACCATGGCACCAATGGTACTAAATGCCACACAGCTGGCCACCGACCAGATCTTAAAACTGGCAGGGTCTTGGAGCAGAGTTTGGAGAAGTCCTGTACGTAGCCCAATAACTTTTGGCGGCCTTTAAATATCCCATTCAGGTAAATTTAATCAAAAATTATCAACCAATATCAAAATTTTGAAGATCAAATGTCGGATGATATAAAACGTTTGGCACAAAAATTTGCCTGGCGTACTTATTCTAAGCTGCCGGTACTTCAAAGAATTAGTTGAAGCATACTTTTCTTGTTATAAAACATCAAAGTGGAGATGTTTTCGAAACAGCAATCGTCAACTCGTAAAGACAGTTACTGCTAAGAATTTGTTTGTAGCTCGCAGGTTAAGAGACGCTATTTTTAGCATGTAGCCTGCTGAATATCTTACCAGTTTTAATGGACTGTACGGAAACGTTTAAAGATTTGAATTAGTCAGTTTAGGTATCCTATCATAATTCAAAGACGGTGACAGTTGTTTGTGAATACAAACGTTCTCTGCATTTTGACTCTTAATCGACGATATATTGTGTATTATATATGTGTGTATGGGCTATAGCATCCAGTTACAATTTTTCGTAGGCCATAAAAATATTTGTACTGGACGGGATACGAATCTGCGGCCCACAGGCGCTGCAACTGATTGCTAAGTCAGTGCGCCACGGAGCCGTCGACAACCTACAGTCACCTTTTTTGATATAAGATCTATAACAAATTTTACATATTTATCTATTCAAAACTCACCGTCGTCTTCATTGTCAAGTATCTGGTCTAGTTCACTATCGTCGTAACTGTGCACCATGGTGTTGAGTATGGTCCGCACTTTCTCCTTCTCGATTCGGCCTTGTTTGCTCGAATCGAACATGCTGAACGCCCGTCTGAGCACTGCAAAAGAGATGTTATCATTGTTAACGATGCTACCGATTTATACTCTCCAAACTTATATTTTATATGGTATAAAATAATGTTTTTTAGTTTGTATCGGACGCTTTTCTATACCACACATCAGATTACGATGAAATTTTGGTGAGTTGTTGTGTGCGGCAACAAAAGCTTCTGACTACAAAAGGAATGTTTGTTTGTATGTCCGTTTTCTTTAGTTTTCCTTAACTATTCATTCGATTAAACAGTGGTGTAGACGCGCCTGCATATCTTATCGATAACAAGTAGTAACATTTAAAATTTTGTAGAACCGACTTCGATATATTTATATTGTGTTAAGTGAGAATATCGTCAATGTAGTAGAAATCACTTAAATACATATTATTATTAAGGATTACTCAAAAACTACTGGTCACATCTTGATCAAATTTATATGGGACTACATGAGATTTTTATGACCACATGAGAATTCATATGACACTAGTTTTCAAATAAAGAAATCATTAAAATCGGTTCACCTAGAAAAAAGGTCTGAGATTCTATTTTTTTTATTTGGTTGAAAAAAGACATTGCAACACATGCCGGTCACAGCTAGTATGGTATAAAAGATATACTTAAGTAGCTGGTATGAGTAGATTAGTGGCTAGTATGAAAAAAGATATACTTAATATATGTACATGACGTTCATCCTTTCAATGTTTGACGTCCCAAATACACTAACAAGTATAACAATAGACGACATTATATAATTTTGTCCATAATCAAACAACAACTTTCATATATTATGGTTGTAGAACGAATGGGTCGACTCGACCGGGGAAGGACCACGCCCTCACAAAATACCAGCGTAAAATAGCAGCTTAATGCTGCTGTATTTCGTATGGTGAGTGTAGAGAACCGGAGACCCTTTGTACTGGAAACAAGGCATTCCATCTTAGTCCTCAAAGGTGACAACGCATCTGAATTTTGATTCGTAATTGAGGATGGATGTAGATGTCTATGGGCCACAGCAACTACTTACCATCAGGTGGACTGTGTGCTCGTTTGCCACTCCTATCCTATAAAAAAATATAATAGTAGTTAAGCTAGAAATTCGCCTGATTTTTACTCTGTCTACTTGAATGAAACGTTTCGAAAATGTTCTCAACTATTCGCTAAATCGACAGTTGAAGTCTTTGATCTGTTGAAAACGTGCTTAGTTTCAATCGCTGCGTTCTTGTAAGGCTTTAGTTACTTTCTCCTTTCATTTCATATTTTACCAGAACAGGGGTTTTGTTAAATTTGGAGAAGTAAGCTTTTAGTTTAGATTTTAGTAAATCTAACTTGCTCTTTCAAAGGGAAATCTCTTAGAATTAGTAGACTTGAAATTGCTTTTTCTTTTAAAGGTAATTAAAACTTAATGGTAACATATCGTAGAGTATGGCTTCTTTCCTAATTATGCCTGAAGAGGCAAAAGACATATCATATCAAGAACGGTGGTGTGATTTCTTAGCTAAAAGTTTAAAGTCGTATCCATGGTAGTGGTATTGCGTTAAAGTATAATAGCACTTTTACAAGATATCCCGCCTCCACCGTAACGTGGAAGGGATGGAAGCTCTTTAAACTACGTAATACACACCATGTCATATTTGTAGGCGGATTTCTAACTAATTAATTTTTGATATATTTTTAAATTATTACTAATAATCATATTATATATTTATATGATAAGCAGCTATGAATTCTGTCTTGTTCCAGTTGAAAGGGTAAGGAAAGCCAGTAAAATAACAGGCTAACGCGTTCTTTTTACTCGCTTAAGACAATGCCTCGTTATTTGTTTTGTCAATTTTATTTCATAAACGTAATAAAAAATAAAATACCAGTGACTGAGAAATTAATAAAATAACTTTTTGGAACTGGATGAGTTCTGAACGACGACGGATGGAGCGAGTGCTGAAAGAAGAATGAAACTTTTAACGGCGTTTCAACTTTCTAAACGCAACGCGTCCAAAAAGTACGGTACAATATTTTATTGAAAAACTGAAACTCACTAACTTTTAATAAATCCCCGATGATCGCAAATTGTATTTTATTAATATTTATTTAAAAAAAATACGTTACGTCTTAGGACATCTTACGATGATAGATGTAGTTGTCAATGAATCACAGCATCCACTTATTATCAGGTTAACTATGTGCTCGTTTCCCATTCTTATTCTAAAAGAAGATCGTCACTCGAGTTCGATTACTGTAGTTAAATGCTACCATTACAATCTGACCTAAGCTAGACCTAAAATGGCACTTTCTGTCATAATATATTAGTACTTCAATGAGCTAGTTATTAAAGTGATAGCCTATATATGACTGCATTCTATAGCTGAGTCCATTCCTCTTCATATTTCTGGGAGGGTTTTGGATATATTAGTCTGCCACTGCTCCCGTACTTGTTGGTGGACTTCACATATCTTCTAAATATTTTATTCCTCAGACCTTATGAGTAAATCAGCATTAAAATTCATACATGGTAGAACCATGCTGTAGATATAATAGTAGTAAAGTTGTAGCACGAATGGGTCGGCTCGACTGGGGAAAGACCACGCTCTCACACAATACCAGCTTAACACTGCTGTGTTTCGTATAGTGAGTGTAGAGAACCGGAGACCCTTTTTACTGAAAATGAGGCATTCCATTTTGGTCCTCACGGGTGACAACGCATATGCATTTTGATTCGCAAATGAGGAAAAATGTAGATGTCTATGGGCCACAGCAACCACTTACTATCAAGTGGATTGTGTGCTCGTTTATCCCCATATCTTATAAAAAAAATTCAATCAACAAATACATTCGCCGGCGGGGATCGAATCCAGATCAGTTGCGTACTTTGAAATTTACGGCGAGTGCTTAACCCCCGAGTTAGCGTGGCTATTATTATTTAAATAGATGTTTATTAAATATTAATTATCATAAAAGCATGTCCTTTCCTTTAAAAGGATTTTAGAAGTAACTTTCAAACTCTCATTAAATTATTTACTCTACTTTTATACGTAGTTGAGAGGCTTTCCAAATGAGCGCCATATATAAGTTCATGTTTTCGTCATAAAATTTATTACGTATACATGACAACAAATAAAAAAATTTGTATATCTTTCTTTTTCTTGTTCTAGTGACAAAAATTAAGATTTAGTACTACCGTCGTATAATAAGTTATACAAGAATTCGATAGTTCCGTTTTCAATAAATATTTTACTATGAAAATTAAATGAACAAATAGTTTATCTTAAGGTTAAGTACCTACTGCAGATTATAAATAATCCATTCAACAAAGAAGACACCGGGATATCAGTATGTGGTCATCTTGACGTCCAATAAAAATGTTCTACATCTTAAAATTACACTAGATCTTGAGTGCAGAAACGGTTGTCCATAACAGAGCAATGTCGACCCAGATGGATAGGCAGAAGACCCTCGGCAACTATTGGAATTTGTAAACGTTACATATACGCCACCGTTTACCGTGTAGATGCGGTGTAAGAATATCCACTACCCCATATTATCCCGTGGGTGTCGTAAGAGGCGACAGAGGGAAACAAATCAGGAGATGGGCTGCATCGTCTTTGTAATAACGACTAAAAACAAAAAACTGTAGTTGCTGAACCGCTTTCCAAGCGTGCCAACTATGCAAAATATCCCCCTATGAGGCAATCTAGCGGGCGGCTTATGTTCAGTAATGGACTTCAATAGGCTGTAACAGTAAATATATGCCAAACAAATTGTTAATATTACTTCAATGGCTACACATAAGTGTCGCAACCCTACGCCATTAAATAAAAGTATTATTCACTAGTACTATTATAAAAGTATCGGGTACAAAAATCGACAATTTGTGTTTTTCCTTGTATCCAGACAGAAGTCATTTTTAAAGGCTCTTGTTGGGATAAAATGCCAGGACCCGCGACTCGGTCGTCAGGAAAAATACATTTAAATTGGCTGTTTAAGGAACGACTATTTGTATTTAATGTTATTAAACCTGGATTATATTAGCTGCTTAACAAATTTAGTTATTATTTGATGGTATTTTTACCCTCCCAGATGATGTTTTTCGATTGTATGCGTATGATTGTAGACTAAATGGATTGACGGATTTTAGCATATTATGGGTGTTGTTAGATTCGTGTTAGTTTTAGGTGTGACATAGCATTAGTATTTGATTTTTTCTCTTTTTAGTAATTTTTATACACAGTCTAGTTTTTTTTTTTAAATACTGTTTCAACCATCGGGCTTTTTTAATGTTAAGAATGAACGCCGTGATACACCTTTGTATGATTGCTTACTGTATACGCTTGTATTGCAACCAATGCTAACTTTTTCAAGTCAAAATTAGAATTTGAGTGTGCCCTTACGTTGTGTTATTGTTATAAAAAATCCTTTTTCTGTTTCCATTTTTTTAATCCAGTAACCAAAAACTCAGTTACTCAGGGGTCCGTTCTCTTTCGCAACTCTCTTCCTGCTGCATATTAATTAATGATCTGCTTATTCCCGGTATCTATGGATATGTACACAGCTGCACAGTTGTGGAGAGCTATCAGCTGAATGCACGAGCCAGTCGGGATCAAATCCAGTCCGAAAGAAAACTTATGGTTGAACGTGCGAATTTCTTACTGCAGGCAGTAACCTAATGGGGCGATGCAACTTGTCAAAGAAAGTACGCGGAATCTAATTTTTCACTCATATATTAAAGCCTATCAAAAGTTCACTGTTAAAAATAGTACTGCCACAAATATTGCTCACAGGTATGTACGCCACAGTACAGCAACGCTTGGCATGCGGTCTGGCAACCGCAGTTTTTGTTATTTGGAGTTGTTGTAAGATAAATGCTGCTGCCCATCTCTTCTTTCATTTCACTTTGTCGCCTCTTTCAATGCAAACGTGATGATATGAGGTCGAGGTTTTGCTAAAGACACTACAACGCATTCAATTTATTGTTGTTTAATTTTTTATTTTTTTAAATAAATATTTAAAAAATA